TTTTCAGATGATATATTTTCTATAATTAATATACATCTTTTTGGTATATATAATTTTAAGAAACATACAGTCTATTTTATTCTTTATGAATAAATTATTAATTATCCAGCAAGAAATGAACGTCAATTAAATGTCGAATCGATGTCAAATTGGTGCTTAAATCATCATATTACAATAATATTGATTTGACATCAATTCGATGACTCATTTTCCGCTAGTTAATATTTATTTTTTAAAAATAAAGTTTTTTTAAAAAACATTTTATCTATACAAATACGTTTTGCACTCACTGTACCCGCGCGCGCCCCCACACACACACACACACACACACACACACACACACACACACACACACACACACATACACACATACACACACGCACGCACACACATACATACGCACGCTCACGCACACGCACGACTGTGAAACATCAGGATAATAATAAATCAGAAATTAATTAGTATTATATTATTATTTTCAATAAGTTGTTCAGGCTACATGTGTTGCAAGTTGTCGTGATTAATATTAATTTTGTTTATAATATATTATATATACATTTTATAATATTTATGAAATTGTAAATTTGAACTTAACGATTGAGGAATTTAGTATTTTCGAGATGTATGTGCAAAAAATTGTTTCTTCCCATGGTTGTATTTTGTGATATTACTAATGCAAACAGTATAAGAAAATAATGAATGTTGATCTATAATATCGAATCTATTTTTTATTAATTATATTAATTTTATTAATTTTTTAATTATATTAATTTTTTAACCCTTAAGCACTAAGATAAAATAATGATACTTTTACCTGATTAAGACATTGATTAAAAAAAAAACTGGAATAAAAACAGCAATTTTATAAATCTATGTTTTATTAATCAAACTGATATAGCATAGAGCGTGCAGCGTTTTTTCTTTCGCGTGGTCTCACGGACCAACCATAGTACTTGAAGGTTAAATAAATTTCTGGAATATATTACATATTTTTATTTTGTATTATTCTTTTTTACATTATAATATTTTTGTATTTATAATATTGTTTTTTAATGTTTATTTTGTGTTTAATGTCTTTTGTTAAAGTGTATTGCAAAGAGTGTTGTTAAGTATAGTGATAAATAATAATTCGAATTTATTGTACCACGAAATGATAACGTAACTTGATAACAATTCTGATTGGTCGCTTGTATGATATTTTTGTCCTTATATCAGTGTTGCTGTTTTTGATGATTTTTCACTAATTTATTGATTTTAAGGTCTTTTGATTTAATGAATTATTTTCTTTATTTGGTGAATTTTATGTCAGCATCCTCTACTTCTCTTAAGTCCAATGTCCACGATGCTAGAAATCAGTCCGAGATCTTGGATGGAGAAAGAATTAACAAATCACATATGAACAATTTGATCATATGATATACCATTGCGATTGGTCAATTCTTTCTTCATCCGAGGTTTCGGACCGATTTCTAGTATCGTGGACACAAGGCTTTATTGAGGCCGGTCTCATTTTTTGAAGCTGCTTTTTCATGCAAGCAAAAAAAGCTCGCATTTATCCCCATTCCGTCATAATTCAAATCCAGTATTGAAAAGCTAAAGCTATCACCTTCTTTCTTTTTATGGAGCGAAGTTTTGCTGGCAAAATTACTCCCACTATGCCGCGAATAAGAGAGCATTTATACTGGCCGTAACCGTATGCCGTATGTCATAATCTGTAAAAATTGATCAATCACCTTCGAGTATTCCCTTCTTATCGCCGAATGAGAGGGAAATACTTGACTATGATTAGTCAATTCTTACAGATTACGGCACATAACATATGGTTACGGTTAATATAAACGCTCCCTTATGCTTTATGTGTTATGCGTTATGCAAGAGTCTGTGCTCTTCGTTTTATATTGGAACTGACTAATTGCATTTGCTGTTCAGCAGAATTGACCACTCACGGTTGACACTTAGTCGACCGATTAGAATAATCAGAATTGATGAGACCGGCTTTTAATCTTGTTTTCAATTTTTCATTGGATCTAAATATTGGACCATATTAACATAAATCAAGAATCTTGAAGTTGCGTTTTCTAACTGAACGCAGACAATCTACTTTTATATATGGGTTTTATTTTAAATTTCACAGACTAAAGTATAATGAATTGTTTTTGTCAATAATTTTATAATTGATCTATTATAGTTATTTTTTAAAAAATATAGATAATGATACGTGAAGAGAGATTGTTACAATTTTATAATACAATATATTAGGCCGGAATCAAACTAAGCATTGAAGATTAATTAAGATTGATTAAGATTAAAGATTAAAGATTGAAATTTTACTAATGAAAACAAAGAAGTTTTGGCTCCTTTTGTTCTGGTTGGTCAAACTTCAATCTTTCAATCTTCAATCTCATTCTTCAATGCGTAGTCTAATTCCGGCCTTAGAACCGGTTGTTTCACCTTTTGACAAATTTTAAGCATTAGGGATCTATTGTTCCACCTTTTGATAAATTTTACCTGTTGAGTAAGTAGCAAGATTATTCAATTACATGCGCGATTGCCAGATTTACCTTAACAGATAAAACTTTATCAAAAGGTGGAACAACCGGGTCTAAGTAAGTAATAAAGGGAGCTTCCTAGCAAGAGACATAAATTGACACATGAATCATTCTGTCCTTGTTCAATAATCAGTAAGAAACCAAGATGGAATGACTCTTGTCGATGGAATGATTTGTGCCTCTGCTGGAAAACTCCCAAAACCAATCGCATTGCTAGAGACTTACCTAACACGTAAAATTTACCAAAAGATGGAACAACTGGCTTTTAATAGGTCTGTTCGCGTTGCTCGTACTTTTTGCACTCGGCATCTTCGCTTTCTCTTTTTTCAAAGCCAAATATATATTTATCTTATTTTTAAAAAAATTTGGAAATTTCATGCAACGCGAACAGACCTATTGATATAATTGTGTAGTACAGCAGTGAATAAAGCCAGCGGCACATGATGCTTGTTTTTCTGCTGGATTGCTAACTGGATTAGAATCTTGCCACCGTATTGATTGCGGTGCTGTCAATATCAGCATCGCAGCTAATACGATAGCAAGATTCTAACACCCGTATTCATAGTCTTTCTTTATTTTAAGGATGGAGGAAGTCTCCATGAAGGATTCCTCGATTCTCCAAGGCCGCTTTGTTTCATAAATGGATCTTTGCCTTCTTGAAGGAAGGAATATTTTAGAGATTTTAATAATCTACTGAGGATAGCATGTCATAATATATAGTATATACGTAGCTAATATTGTGAATTACGAATAATAAAGGTTATAAAAGCAATGTTAATTAAATAAGTCATGATTAAGCATTTTGCAACAATAATGGACAAAAATAAAATTAATAGCGAATTTAATTGGACGGACTCATATACATTAAAACCGTCGTACATACACAAAATAATGTAAATATATATTTATAAATAAATATAGAAATTAAATTGTGAAATACTCAATACATCTTACTGTTAAATAAAATATATATTTTATAATTCGAAATATTTGCATTTTATTTTTATACTCAAATTAAATTAGTGTACAACGGTTTTAATATGCATCAGTGCTTCCAATCGAATTCGTTATAATGCTTATTATGCGAAGAAGAAGAAAATGCTTTTAGAGGAGATTATTTCCGAAAAAAAGCTATCAAAAATTATCGATGAGCCAGATTTAAATTAAAAGCTATCGAAAGTAAAAAGACCGGAGTGACGAATTAAATTTGGAGATTTGCTTGGTTATAAAGGCTACATCTCAAAGAAACTCGTAATCTCCCTTGAGAAAAGAAAATTAATAAGGCTCCTTGTTTGGTCAAAGAAGGTTTATGAAATATGAAATGAGAAACAAGGAAAAACTATAAATTTCTCATACCACAAAAAAGAACTATGAATACTGGTATAAGCCAACTACAAATGCAGCAGGAAAACAAGCATTATGTGCTACTGACTTAATATATCTGTATGTAAATTGTAAATGATGGTATTTATTTATTAAAGAGCAACCATACTGTCAACAGAGATTGCAAAAAAAATTCACCCTGTTTTGTCTTTTCTTCTCTCTCTCTCTTTTTAATTACTTCACGCATTTGGTGAATTTTGAGATCTTTTAATGAATTTTAAGCAGGAATTTAATGAAATTATATTTTGACCCACGGCAATCCTCGGGTGTCATTCTTGTTTGTTCGATAAATAAGGATGATATGTGGTCTGTTTTTACTGCATTAGATTGCATTAGAAGTTTCTTTCTCGCTTTCGACAAATATCAAACATATATCTATTTCACTTTAAGTTTCAAAAGTGTACACTGGTTTAGCTATAGAAAACAGACCTATGACATCCGAGGAGCACCCAAGTGGGAATCTGAACACAATCTAAAGCCGTAATCACACTACAGGCTCCTGACTCTGAGATCTGACTCCCGACTTCCGACTCAAAGTCGGTCGAACAGAGTGATTTCTATTCTCGAATCGGTAGTCAGGGCCTAGTTTCCACTCAGAGTTTCCGGATCGGAATGTAAGAACCAACCAACTACAGTCAAGAATTCCCCTGTTAAGGCTTAAACACAATAGGCACAGGCAATCAGAGTTCTGGGATATAATATCGAACTTACACATCAGAGCTCTGATTGGACGGCTCGTTATTCCCTGTTGCCTGTGCCTATTATCTGTGCCTATTATGTTTAAAGCTGGAAACAATAAAAAGGAATAAGAGCAATAAGAGAACAGGAACAGGGAATAAGAGATTTCAACTTATCAGAAACCATGAATAATAGAATGGACGCTTTCTGATAGGTTGAAATCTTTTATTCCCTATTCCTATTGCCTGTGCTTTTCATTGTGTTTCCAGCTTAAGCCTTACAGCCGAAACGACAGGCCAGAGTCGGCTGCTGTGATTCGTAGAATGATAGTTGGGAGTCTAAGATGGCTCCCCAGTGACTCCAGTCGATCACAATGGTGGTCGTACTTGTTTCTTGTCACTCGCCTAGGTGAGATCTAGGAGCTACAGTCAGTAGTGTGCATGAGATAGAATCGTGATTGTTTCTTTATTTTCTTCAAACTATCTACACGGTTTCGTGCTGCATTACAGTATTGTTTGATACATAATATAATTTAGCGTTGTTATTATTGGTTCGTGTATATTTTATAATTATGTCGAATCAGTCACCAGAGAGTGAAAACGAGATATTGATGAGCAGAGATGAACTAGGCTATCAAAAATGGTAAAATTTCATCTTTTCTTTTCTTCGGCCTTTTCTTTATTCTTTGATAAATATGAAAATCCGAGCGTATAAGTCGATGGAAGAGTAATATAACAGAAGCGTAAACGAAGTTTCTAGAAGATGAAAATTGAAATAACGGACCTCTTTTACATTCCATTGTTTCGATTTTCACTTTCTAGAAACTTCATTTACTCTTCTATTACTCTCCCATTACATTCGACTTACGTTACGATTTTTATTTTCACCAAGGTTTTTTCTCATTTTTAAGCAACACGTACTTCTGTCGGACAAATTGAAAATATACGTAATAGTGACCACGTGTTAAATTTGGAAATAGGAATGCTCGTATTCGGAACTTTATCGATAAGAATTAAAGTCGTCGTATTCATAATTGTAATAAATTATTTTGACACAAATATTGTTCTATCTTTCTTTGCATTTTATGAATAAGAAAAACGGAATGATACTTGTATTTATATGTATCTAAATGGAAGGCATCCGCATAGCAAATAATTCTACAAAATTCTTCGATCCGATTTTTAAAAAAATGATTCGAAAAAAGGGATTATAGAATAATCCCTACAGCACAAAGTTGCATAAAAGTTGCAGCGATATTTGCTGCAAATTCTATACTGTATAGTGATTCGATTCAATTCTTATTATCGACGTTTCTCGAAATTTCTATGGATGCTTCTGGAAAATTCCTTTTGTATAAGTCGATCGGTATTTTTTCTACTTCTTTTAAGAACTCGGCTTTTGTTTTTGTTTTTTGCGAAGATAATATTGACTGTTTTCTACGCAACAATGTTCTTGACACATTCAATGATAGTAAAACAGTTAAAGATAGACCGATATACTTATGTGACTGAAAACAAAAGCAGTTTTTATAACAATCCACATTATAGTCGTTTATGCTCGTTATTATGCTTTCTATATTAAACTTTAATTTCGGTTCAACTTATTGTTATCTTTTTCTAAATTTTTCTATTTAAAATATAACTAGGCATTTATAATCGATTTTTATTTTAAGCCAGCTTAATGACTTGCATGCTGAATGCGATGAGTGACGAACGATATCCAATGAAATCTCTGTTTTTCACACGTCTCTCATTAAGCAAAGTTCTCATTCGCAAAGAAATATCGCTCATCGCTCATTGTTCATCGCGTCCAGTGGCGTGTTCAAATTTCTAATACCTTGGGTGTCATGTCATCCTTGTTTAACATTCAGTAAACAACATTGCAAGAATAGAGTGATACCTGAGTGGCACTGAGCGAGAATCTGAATACAGTGTACAAGAGCCATTAGGCCGGAATCAGACTATGCATTGAAGAATGAGATTAAAGATTGAAAGATTGAAATTTGACCAATCAGAACAAAAGGAGCCTAAACTTCTTTGTCCTCATTGGTGAAATTTCAATTTTTAATTCTGATTCGGCCTTAGAATATTTCCACACAACTTGTATAGTATAGTGGAAGGGATAACATGGGGTGTGCAGTTGCATAGTGAGTGCATCCAATCAGAAGCATGACCGCTCACTGAATCCTCAGGGATGCGATTATATGGAGTGCGGTATGCGGTATAGTATACACGATATAGTAACTAATAGTAACTAACTAGGCAACTAGCAAACCGCGTCACAGTATAATCATGATTATACTGTGATCGCGTATGGGTGCTATTTTATTTATGCGTTTTTGACGTACGACAAATTTTTCAAACCTGTTGATTGGCTACAGTATAGAGAGATCCGAGGATCTCTCTGTCCTGTACACATTTGTCGTACAAAAACGTACAAATGAAATAGCACCCTATCACGTACCGCCTATTTCTTTTACTGATATTACATGGAGCGCGGTTTGCGGCACGGGCTAGTAACAAACTCACATTACGATACATTGCTATGCCCTTTTAGTAGAATTAATTGATTTAAATGCAATTATTAAGTAAATCCGTTAAAAAAATAAGAGTATCGATAAAGTATGCATAAAAATAAGTTAATATATTATTAAAAAAATTCATACTAATGTGAGTTTCACTAGCCCGTGCCGCAAACCGCATGCAAATCGCGCTCCATAGGTGCGTTCGGGGAGACGCTATTCGCGCTACAAATTGTTCGCGGAGCTGCAGATAACGCTAACACTCATGTGATCATGACGTCACTAATGATAGTGTGTTACGTCACAACTGCGCGCTATCAACGTTATTCCTTCCGAGGTAGTATATTGGCAGAGTTAGCATTTATAAATCCGTGAACGACCCTAGCGTAGCTAGTTAATATTCGTTTAATATTCGTCAAAGTTAGATTAATGTTTGAGGGGATTCTGTTCTCAAGTGGCACCAAACTTTTCTCTCTTAAAATTTCTAGGAGTAGAGTAAACGTACGTACGTAATGTGCGAATTTCAAATTTTATCATAATGAATGCAATCTCAATTTTAATCTCTGCTGATGATTTGCCACTAGGCTGAAGTGAACGTAATTCTTGCTTGTGCATCATCTTTAACTTTTCAAAGTTTCTGCGAAGTCTTGTGTATTTGATTTCATTATACAGTAAATATGAAAGTCAGAGGTATTTTGTTACTGATAATTTTTAATTCCCGTGTATGGAAAAAAGTTATTATCGCGGTATAGCACGGCAGATCCTTATTAGATGTAGATACGCTTTCAAAAGAATCTACAAAAAATTCTTCCTTTCTGATTTATTTACTTAGTGTAACTATTAATTTTTTGATCTAATTTACATTGTTCACTTCGGCCTAGCGACAAGCTATCATAGAGATTGCAATTGAGATTGTGTTCTATTCACTACAAGAAAATTAAAAATTTACGTTACAAAACCTTAAAAATTTTAATTATAGAGAAAAGTTTGGTTAGTGATTGAAAACAGAATCCCCTACATTAACTTAACCTCGACGAATATTGGGTCATCTAAAAAGTATCCGCGGTTTTTTGTCACTAGATGTGTGTTGATGGTCATATATCTAGTGATAAAGTACCGCGGATACTTTTTAGACGACCCAATATATCTCTAGTTAAACGCTACCAACGTATGCTAGGATCGTTCGTCTACTATTGGCTTCAAGAACAGTGTTGGTAGCGTTTGCGTTCATAGCACGAATAGTGTCTTCCCCGACGCATCCTATGTAATATCAGCGAAAGAAATAGGCGGTCCATGGTAGCCGTTTAGTTGCCTAGTTAATTACTATACTGCATACTGCGTACTGCGCTCCAGGTAATCTCACTCTCAGTAAGTTCTTGCATCTGATTGGCATATGCCATTAGATCGAAAAATATAGGCCAAATTGGACGCAAGAGTACTGAGCGCTCAGTGAGCGGTCGTACTTCTGAATGCCACCAAATATATATCTCTCTTTCTAAAGGCCATTCTATTTTGATCATATCGTAGATGTTGCAAGTCATAGCTTATTGCTTCAGCCAATCCGATGCTTCAATTTTAAAGTCGTATGATGCTTATGACGCTTCCGACGCTACGATACAACCAATGTAGAATAGCCTTAAATCTCTACCGTCTCCGTGGACTATTCATAAGGAGGAAACTATCAATTATGAAACGCTAAACATGGGACGGTATTCATAATCTTCTTCGTTCTTATTTTAAATCTGTCTTAAGTAATATTAGGTCATCTAAAAAGTATCCGCGGTTTTTTGTCACTAGATGTGTGTTGATGGTCATATATCTAGTGACAAAGTACCGCGGATACTTTTTAGATGACCCAATATCTTAAAATGCTAGTACAGTTCTCGGATTGATATCTTAAGATTGTATTTAAGACAGTCTTAAATGTAAGAATCGACTACCGACCTGTTTCGTGAAATTCATACTGATTCTTTTCTTGTGCAGATCTTATCGCGTTTCTCTTATAAAGACGCATGTAAAATGTGATTGGATAATTTTTTTAATGCATACGTTTATGCGGCTATGCAAGTTTGTGTGGATTTATCTTTAAGCCCTGAAAACCACATTAGCATCTTCAGGGGATCGATTCTATATTTTGAAATAAGGTGAAAATTATAAAAGTGAGCGAATTTACTAGAATACTGATTATTTCATTGGTACATCTAGTAAATTTGTTCGCTTTTATAATTTTCATCTTGTTTGAAGATATAGAATCGACCCTAAGATATTACTTAAACTAAGATTCGACTATGGACGATATTTATAATTCGGTCTTATTTTAAGATTGTCCTAAATAATATCTTAAGACGCTAATACGATCTTATGAGCCTCTATTCTCTAAAAGTATCGCATACGATAAACTAGAGAAATGCTATAGTATGTGTAACGTATACTATAGTATTGGATCATCTAAAAAGTATCCGCGGTTTTTTGTCACTAGATGGTGTTGATGGTCTTCAGATGCTAATGCTAATTCTCCGATTTCGTAACATCATAAGACTATACTTAAGGTGGTTTTTTAATACGAAAATTTGGGACACCTCACCAGGGTCCACCCAAAATTAGACATTTCTATGGTAACTCGATTTACTAAAGAACCACCTTAAATATAAGAACCCACAATGAATATTGATCAGTGTAGGAACCAATTATATTGGGTCATCTAGAAAGTATCCGCGGTACTTTGTCACTAGATATATGACCATCAACATACATCTAGTGACAAAAAACCGCGGATACTTTTTAGATGATCCAATATTAAAGGGATCCTAAAGTAGTCCTGTTTTACTATAATTACGCGCGCGTTTTAGGAGAAATCTCCAAATTGGCTTCACGGATTGCAAAATTTTTTTACAAAATTAAAGAATGCATTAAAAAATCTCGGAAAACACGATTTCACGAGAAAATCGGAAAAAAATTAAAAAATTCACTTTTTCTGACACATACAACTGTCACCTGATAGATTAACATTTGCTTGATATAAAAGTTTTACAACTTGTAGATTGAAAATAAGCGTGAGGCGAGAGATTCAGGCGACAGATTACTTGAACGAACAATATTGTTAATTTATGGAATTAAGAGGTTCGTTCACGTTGTTTGAAATCCCCAAAATTGTTTGCTTAAAACGGGATAAACATACATTCGAGAGTTGAAAAAAGAGAGAACGAAGATACTAAGTGCAAAAAGTACAAGCAACAGACCTAAGATTTAAAGCATAGAAAAAACATTTCTCCTAAAACGAAATTACGTGCTTTTTTTCTTTTTTACACATTCGAAAATCCTTTTCCAAGCTCAAAGTATACACATTAATATGTGTTATACGCATTAATACGTGTCTGTGAGGTGGAATTTATTTCGAGAACGACAAAAAATTTTTCTTAAAATTTCAATTTCGAAATTTTTTGTTGTTTTCAACATAAACTTCACCTCACAGACACGTATTAATGGCGTATACTTTAAGAATTATTAAGAATTATTAAATGTTCACTTTAATATTGAGCGCTTACAGTTTTCTCTATTGAACGTATATTAAATAAATTTGTAACTTTTTAGGTAAAATAGGATTCTGACAATTGTTGCTCTTCACGTGAAGCAAGATGAATGAATTATTACTGATTATTTACTATTTTTTTATTATACTTGATATACATATATATAATATTGTATTATTTTTTATTAAAGGCTTGCAGAGCGTTCATGCAGCACATATTTACACTCACTAAAGAAAGGTGAAATAATTCATAATGAACATCCAAAAAAAGTGGATTACATGTTCGAGAAAAAAATCAAGATGTTACTTATTGATTGTGATCTTGCTGTCATTTTGCTAACAGAGGATGGAGAAGTATATCTCAGAATTAATATCTCTGAAGAAAAAATTTCACTGAAATTATTTCACATTTTGAAACACTTTTCAGCAAAATTTCAGCATGTCAGAAAAATTTTAGTTTAATTTCAGCGATTTTTAGTTGAAAAATTAATTTTCAGAAAAAATTTCAGAAAAATTCAACAAAAAATTCAGAGAAATTTTAATAAATTTTCAGAGAAATTCTAATTCAATTTCAGCAATTTTTTAGTATGTTGGCTGAAAAATTTACTTTCAGTTGGTACTTTCCATTTCATTTGATGACACAAGTATTGTTCTATGCTTGTTGACATTCAGAGAGTGACAAAGATAGAACGACACTTGTGTCGACTTGTGTCATCAAATGGAAAGCACCTAGTGAATTTCAGCAAATTTTGATCAATTTCGCTGAAATGTTTCAAAACGTAGCATAATTTCAATGAAATTTTTTCACCAGGGATACTAAAAATGTTTAACACTTAATTATATATAATAATATATTACTGATTTTTCATTAAATTTAATGCTCTTAATATTTAAAAATCATATTATGAACATACATAGCACAGTAGATAGAAAAATTATTTTTATTTCTTAATAATTAATAAAACACATTTGGAAATGAAAGAAAAATTACTTTAGGATTCAAATGAATTTTATTCCCATAAAAATATTTCGATATTTGATAGTAGAGATTATGACATTCTCTATATTTATTTTAGTAATCTCATAAAAAATGGATTTGATGCATTTTATATATAATTTGTGATACTTTTTTTGTAAAATTACATTTTGTGTAATTTTCATACATAAATTTAAGAAGAAATTAATTGTTATCAATCTAATAATTTTAGAATTTGCAGAAATTTTGGAAAATTAGTATGAATATATAATAGTGCATCAGTTTATCTTTTATATTTTACGTATAAAATATATGAATTATAAAAATTAATAACAATCTTATTTTTGAAAGGTGTATCACTGGTATGACGTTACATGGTCTGAGCTGAAGGTAGAATATTATTCTCAGTTGATTGATTTGAGATATACACGTATTGTACAAAGTGCAGTTGGTGGCAATCGCACTTTTATCATTTTAACTGATGATCAAAAGGTAAGCTAACAACCGAATTATTATCATAATAATATTTTATTTTAGGTATTAAAAATTGTCTATTTCCAAGGTATTCTATTTCCAAACCTATTACTTTGATGGCATAAGTCGGATGAAATGGATGACTTTCCAGAAAAAGGTCGAGTCTATTTGTTGTGGTGACAGTTTCTTCGTAGTGCTTACTGAAGACAAAAGGATGTATACCTGGGGAAAAAATCATCATGGTCAATTAGGTGTTTCTACGTGCAAGGACGAATTTGTAATCAGTCCACTTGAAGTTAAAAATCAAAACGTTCGCCTAAGTAATTTCTTTATTTTGAAAGTTCATTTCTAAAGATGATTTATGAAGGAAATGAAGGATTTGTATACACTGTTGACTAATTTATATTTGATGTTGATATTTTAGCAAGAATAGCCTGTGGCTATACACATGTACTCGCATTATCTACAGAAGGAAATATTTTCGTCTGGGGTGGAAACTCTTGTGGACAATTGGGTTGTAATTCTAGAAATGACATCCATGATCCTGAAAAAGTAAATGATTTATTATTATTATTGTAAGAATAGAAATGTAAAACAGAAAATAAAGTAGAAAATTTTGGAAATTAACAGATTATGATAACGCCTAAACCAATGAAAATGTTGGATATTGCTGCCATGAAAAATATGAGTTGTGCCATAAGCGAAGAAAAACTTATTTATGTGTGGGGCAACTGTTTCGATCAACAAATTCAGACACCTGTTGCCTGTGAATACACGACTCTATTTGACATGTGTAACGCGATGTCTGCTAGACCGCCAACTACTGTGAAAAACTTTGAACAAAGCGAGAAGTTTAAAATATTGGACGATATCGCAAAGTCGTTTAATGATCCTGTAAGTTTCGTTCTGTGTATCAATCTATTCTTCTTAATAGATTTCCGACTGTTAGGCTTACAGTATGACTTACTTTTAAATTCTTACATGTAAATTCTTAATGTAAATGATTCGGAAGCTTTCGAAATTCTTGGATTTGTAAATGATACGATATGATATGATATCTAGAAGCCGTAGGCAAATTGTTTATAAAAATTCTTTACTTGCTTTCTTGCATCAAAATGAATTACTGTGACCCAATTCTGTTTTTTACTTTGTGTAGATTTTTAAGTATACTTAAAAAATGTGTATACAGGTAGAGGAATTATCGACTAAGTTTTTTATTAGGGGAATAGCACTGTATGGTTAGTGGATATTATTTCAGACGATTAGTGTATATCCTTGATACATACATACATACATACATACATACATACATACATACATACATACATACATACATACATACATACATACATACATACATACATACATACATACATACATACATACATACATACATACATACATACATACATACATATAATAAGCTTCATATAACATTCATTATTTCAAGTCTTTTTGTTATACAAGATATTATCTATTTATCTTTAACAAATTTATTTCTTTGCTTCTAACAGAATATCAGCGATCTTGTGATAAAAATCGGAGAACAATCTATTTATGTCAACAAAAGTATCCTACAGTTTCGTACTTCATATTTCAAACAGATAGACCAATTTATAAGTTTGGAAGATGGTCAAGAGTAAATATTTACGTAAAAGCCCATGTTATTCTTATTAAAAATGTTTTATATTTGATTTTTTATATATGATTTCCTTATAGAGTCATCAGGCTTAATGAATTTTCCTATGTCATGTATAACAGCTATTTCAAATATTTATATACTGGCAAACTTGAGGTATCTCTGGAAGAGAGATTTAGTAAGTTTGGATTTAAATAGAGATCGTACAATTACTCCATATTATTATTGCTTACAATTCATGACTAAAACCATTTCGTTGCAGAGTTCCTGGCATTAGCTGATTCATTGAATGATGATAGATTCAAAAAATGTTGCTATAGGGAGATAAAGAAAGACATACTAGATGAAAATTTATTTGTTTTTTACAATATGGCGCAAAAATATAACGACAAGGTATGTAACTAGTAATCTCATTTTTTTTTAATAATAAATTTTATTAATAGCTGATTTCTGTTTTCTAAAAGAAAGTATCACAATTTATAATGAAATTGATATATTAATCGGATATTTTTCTTATTTCTATTACAATAAAAATATTTTTCCAAATTTGTTTTATGTTATGTGGGGGGGGGGGGGGGAGTAGCAAGATCGTAAATGATTATTAGATATGCAATTTTTCTCTGTTAAGCTCCAGCACTTCAGTATTGCACTTAATACTAAAATTCATGAACTGCAAAAAAATTATTTTTTATTGTGCATACTTATTTACTTATTATACTTATTAATTTATTATTAGATGTATTTATTTATTATACGTATTTTACATAATTTATAGGAAGTAGAGAAGATTTGTTTTGAGTATTTCAAAGAAAATAGAATCGATATAAGAGACACATCGAATTTTTTGGAATTAGACCAAGATATAAAAAATATTTTTCTAAATTCACTACGCTCTGATGAAGAATATAGTGAACATAGTGAACATAGTGAGACATAGTGTTATATATTTTTTAAATACATTAGTATTGATATAATTTAATTTTTTAATTTTTTTTTAAATTTGAGTATTGATGTAATTTTCATTTAATAAAATAAAAAAATTATGTAAAAAATGGAAAATTTTTCATAATATTCTAGAATAGCAAATTTTTTAGAATATTAATAGAACAATTTTTAAAATAATAGAAATAAAACTTTGGTCATTACTGAATATATTCGAATTTTGTGTTATTGCATCTATGATTGTAACAAATACACGTAAAAACAATTTCTAATTGCGAATTTTAATCAAAACTTTTTTATTGAAAAACGTGATTAATCATTTCTCAATAAAAAAGTTTTGATTAAAATATAGAGGACTTTTCAACTTAGTTTTTTATTAAAGGAATAGCACTGTATAATTAATGGGCATTATTTCAGTTACATCCTATATATATATATATATATATATATAGGATGTAACTGAAATAATGCCCATTAATTATACAGTGCTATTCCTTTAATAAAAAACTAAGTTGAAAAGTCCTCTATCATTTTACAATTTTCGCAATAGTTAACGAGATATTAATTTCCAAATATTGCCGGATAAAATCGATGTATAAGACAATTTTAAGATATCTTGTTCTTTGTGAAGTACTTTAAAGATTTTTCTTAAAGAAAGAACTCTTAAAGATATCTTAAAACTGTCTTATACAGCTGTCAATTTTATTTACATTTTGGGAATTAAAAAAAAATATTGCGAAAATTGCAAAATGATAGAAGACTTTTCGTCTCAGTTTTTTATTAGGAATAGCATTATATGATTAGTGCGCGTTATTTCAGTTACACCCTGTATATACGCGTGCACGCGCGCGCGCATCGCACACACACACACACACACACACACACGCACACACGATCCTCATTTTTCAAGATTGTCTCTCTTTTGATTGGCTTCTGCTTTTTAACATTCTGCATGACTTCTACAGTTTTTAGAAATAAGTCTAGTCCTTACTAAAGTTTTTGAATTGTTGCATAAAAAAAAATTGACAACTGAATTTTATACTTTATTGAATAAAAGATTCCAAGATAATATAACTATATTATATTATCTCTTGCAATATTATATGAATACAGTATAAACTATGATTTCGTTGATTCCTTTTATCAAGCATTATGCTCGGCTTTTAGCATTATACAATATTAATTATTAATTTTCTATTAAAGTATCTTAATTTCGGGAACTTATTTAAAGAATGATGTATTAATGTATGATTGATACAATGTATGTATCACAATGATTAATTAAGTACTCATATCATATATATATTTACACGTATCGTTGGAATTAAGATAATGCAATAGAAAATTAATATAGTTAATATATGTATATCAAGTGCACGATGTAAATTGGGCTTTTCACGCTTCTATTTGATGTTTACAAATATAAATGAATTAAAATCAGGATTCCAATCTTGTTGTTAAAAGATAATTGACAATAACTGTGATAAATAATTAAAATAATAACGAATATAAAATAAGTAGAAGTAAAAATATCAGACTTCTTTGAGTTTTAAAATACAAAAATATTAACTGGAATGGATTTTCCATTTTTCCAATGTCACAAGAGGAACATTAACTAACATTACAATAATAATAAAAAGTTACTTTAAATCCGAAGCGCCACGGTCTAAGTATTAAGATGTTGAACTAATATATATATTTTTCAAACGAATAAATTAATTTCAGAAATTACGTGTCGATATGATTGTCGACATTAACGCAATTGATCTGAAATGTTAATAATCCCCCCAAAATTCCCCAAATTAATCTTAAAAAACTGTAATAAATTTATTGCGAAAAAATATTGCCTCGACCGGAAGTCGAACCCGAATCTCTTGCATTCCGTGCGAGGATGCACGTGTGTAGCCTTAGTAGGTATACTCTTGAGTATTTTAAACATAAGAAGAGCTATATTCAGAAGCCACCATGTTGTCGCGGTGGTTGGTATTATGTCAATATTATTATATTTTACGTATTATAAGGAATTTGATTTTATGTTATATGCAATAATAAAAAAAATTAAATTTATATAATTTATAATAAATAATATATAAATATAAATAATTTATAATAATTTGTATATATAGACAATATATAAATAAAATATGAATATAAAAAATTTATAATTTATAATAATTTATACAATTTATTATAATTGAAAAAAATGTAAATTTCTGCATCCTTTTTTTATGAAACTATTTATGCACGTTTTTATTTGATACGTACTCATTTTCGTAAGATGTCACTTCAAACTGTTGAAAACAATAATTGCATACGAGTTTATTTAAATTATTGGGTCATCTAAAAAGTATCCGCGGTACTTTGTCACTAGATATATGACCATCAACACACATCTAGTGACAAAAAACCGCGGATACTTTTTAGATGGCCCAATATTTAAAGTGACTAGATTTAAAGTTGTTTAAATTGCTAAGTTGGTAATAAAAACAAGATCAAGAGGATGCTTGAGATTTAAATAATTAATTGTCTATGTCATGTGGCATTTTTTTTTATTTTCCCTTTTTTCCTTGCGACTATAGTGAGCTTATCATCGCTGATTGATATTAATATTAATTTTTTCAAAATTAATAATCAATAATTTGTCAGATCCAAAGCGATGTATGGATGATTGAGATATCAGATTGGTTATTGTATATATGTGTGATATCAGATATCGTTCATTATTGCTCTATATTCTCATTCAGAGAATGAGATGTAAGAATACGAGTGATAGAAATTGATTTATTGCATTAATTATTCAATGTTAATGTTTTTTTAAATGTAGAATCGGTTTCAATAAATATAATATTGTAACAAATTAAATACGACTACTTGTAATGAATATAGAAATTATAATTTAGATAGTTTTCATTAACAGTTACCATGATAACAAATATACTTCCACCATGATTGACCCTTTGTTTGAGAATTTGCCTGATTTCTACAATATAATAATTCTAATTGGTGCAAATTTCTATATTTAAAATGAGATAAATATATTCGAGTGTTCAAGAGAGAGAAAGTGAAAATGTTGAATGTAAAAATTGCAAGCAATACGAACAGACTTATTTCGTTTAGTATAAAAATTAAAAATTTAAAACAATGCGAATAAAGTTTGTATTGTTTTATTTCTAGGGACTTTAATATATAGAAGTTTATGGCTTGAGTGCTCTCTCTCTCTCTCTCTCTCTCACATACTCACTCTTTTTTCTCTTTTTCTCCTTCTCGCTCTTTCTTCGTTTCTCGTCATTTTTTTATCATCCTTGAATTGGATCGTGCCACCGGTGTGCTGTGTATTGGTTCATTTTGCGGCGATTTCTCGATATGGCGCAAAATAAATTCAGCGAGATGGCCTCGCGCTTGAGCAAAGGCACAAATGGAGTGCCGATGAGTCTGAAGTTTCTCGCTGCCGCGGGCGTTACGGCGTACAGCGTTTCTAAAGCCATGTACACAGGTTAACCTCAATCTCGTTTGCATTTTTATTGATAATTGTTATAATTAGAAGTATTATTCTATAGTCTCTCTTGAATAAACAATGATCTTAAATATCAGTTTAATTAACGAGTGACGTTTACATTTTCCCGTCCAATAGATATTCCTTCAGCTCGTTACAAGCTTTGGTTATGTAATTTGCAATGTAACTGACGCAATCTATTACATTTATACAGTACATGTATAGTCTCTTTTTTTTTATACAATACTTTTACTTCATTTTTATTGTTAATATAAAGTTGCCTTTATTATACAAAGTTATTGTTACCTTTGAATTTGTTTAATATAGAAATTTAGGAGAATCTCTTTATTTTAACTATAATACTGCGTTTAAATCGAATATCCGAAGATAGCTCAATCAGGAAGCCGAAACATGTAACAATTATTATTTATATTTAATTCACAGAGCATAATATATTTTATGTATTAATTTTGCAATATTGTAGCTGACTCTTATGCCCTTTTTAATCGTTATATTATATTTGACATTAAGAGTTCTTTGTGCTCATTTAATTTTAATCTCTGTTGTTTTGTATAAATTAAAAGGATATTAAAATGATTATTATTTGGGCTTTTTAAATGGATAAATTACAAGATGAAATTTATGGCTTTCAGTGGAGGCTGGTCACAGAGCGATCATATTCTCTCGGCTAGGAGGTATCCAGAAGGACATCTTGACTGAGGGTCTGCACTTCCGCATTCCATGGTTTCAGTATCCGATAATTTATGATATTAGAAGCAGACCTAGGAAGCTGTCCTCACCCACAGGATCTAAAGATTTACAAATGGTCAATATCTCGCTACGTGTTCTCTCACGTCCCGATGCTAGCACACTGCCTTCCATGTACCGGCAATTGGGTCTTGATTATGACGAAAAGGTTCTTAGAATGTTTATACATAAGAATGTTCAGCTCTTTAATATCTCTGTTTTCTAATATATGCAATAAAAAATCTCTTAAAGTTTCTATTTATAAAATATATATATATATATATATATGTATAATGTTGAAGTTTACAATATTGATCTTGAAGACTAATTTTAATTTATGATGAAATCAGTACGTAGTTGTAGATTTTAAACTAAATTAAAATTAATAATTCAGGTATTGCCAAGTATTTGCAACGAAGTGCTGAAATCTGTTGTCGCCAAATTCAACGCCTCGCAATTAATTACGCAAAGACAGCAGGTATCTAACATGGTGCGTAAGGAATTAACGGAACGTGCTCGAGACTTCAATATCGTATTGGATGACGTCTCGATAACAGAGCTTAGCTTCGGTAAAGAATATACGGCAGCAGTCGAGGCTAAACAGGTGGCCCAGCAGGAGGCTCAACGAGCCGCATTTGTAGTAGAAAGGGCCAAGCAGGAACGACAACAAAAGATTGTACAAGCCGAAGGAGAAGCAGAAGCAGCCAAAATGATATCCTTTACGGAAACAATTAATTTTTTTAGTTGATTGATTAAAACGCTCTAGAAAAAAAGATATAACTGTTATAATTGAAACTATAAATCTTTTGTTCCTTTACAATTGTTAAGCATTTTAATTTTGCACAATTAAATTAATTTAAATATTGATTTAAATTCGTAAGTTATTAGTATAATATGAAATGCTGCATTATTTTTGAAATATAAATGCCTTAACTCCAGTGTACCTTGGTCTAGCTGTTGGTCAGAATCCTGGATATCTAAAACTACGTAAAATACGAGCTGCACAAAATATTTCGCGTACGGTGAGCATCTTTATAAATGTGCAAACATTGTTAATATTTTGAAAGATGCAATGAAATTTTCATGAAAATTAATATTTTATATGCTTAAAAAAACTTTTAAACATATTTATGTATATAATTATTACTCGCTTTATTTCAGATCGCTAATTCCCAGAACAGAGTATTCCTCAGTGGCAATAGTCTGATGTTAAATGTCCAAGATTCTACCTTTGATGAGGGTTCGGATAAGCTGAAAAGTAAGAAGTAAAAATCGTCAAAGTGCGCGTCCTTTTTTTTTATCTCGTCTCTCATTTAAGTTTTTATTAAGCAATCGGTTTATGTGTATAATTATGTTGAAATACTATGAATAAGATACATTATGTGTTTTGAGCGCACGGATTATATACATATATATATATTTTTCCCATCACACTGCGTTCTCCTTTTCGCCCGTCCGCGTCTTCGTGATCGTTCGCAGATATCTACTTATTTCATTGCATATTCTAAATTTAATGAATTGATATCGCACATAAAACGATAAAGTAAATAATTATTAATAATCGAATATTTGAACTACAACATTGAGACGCTTAATAATTATGAGACTAGATTGTAAAAATTATTAAATGGAAGATGTTGCTAGTTTAGAGTGTAAATTATTAAGCTCAATTTTTCAGAATTAAAAGTTCCTTGTTCGAAAAAATATTTATTTCTATTTTTTTTCACGAGACCTTCCCTTTTGTACTACAAAGCGAAGACATGCAAAGAAAAAACTTTTCTAATGCACAGAAAAAAATGTGGGTTCAAAAAGAGATAAACTCAAAGAGTACAAAAAAAACATTAGGAATACAAAAAAAATTAAGAACTGCAGTGAAAATAATATTCATAAAGAATTGTAATCTAATAATTTCTATGGATATTTCGAGCTTGTCGCGCATAGGCTACACATAGACGCCCAATACGGGCTTTTTCAGATTACGTGGGAGTGAACTGGAAGAGCTGGGACGAAGCGGCCGACCGCGCCGTCCGGAGCCTAAATACTAGTTCTCATCGGGCATTGCCGACTGCCGAAAGGTCCGGCATCAAGACATCAGTACCCTCCGTCGTCCCATTCCTCCTGGAATCGGCTGATGATAGTGCTAAACTAATAGTACCATTACGATAAAAGAGACCTTCGGCCCAAGCTCCTCCTCCAATCATAACTCCTCTTTGTTCTATCGAAAAGCGTTGTCCTTTTGTGTATATTTTTGTGACTGCTGATGATAGGATAAATGATACAATTGCGATATCTCGTTAAAGCTGTGTTCGTCATGACTATATATTTTTTTGCATTTTCTTTACATTGAAAATATTTATATAGTCAGAGGAGAGAAATGTGAATATATATATATATATATATATATTAAAAATATTAAGATAGATATGTTAGATAAGAATATTTAGATTGAAAAGCTTGATTTTTATATTGCTTTTTTATTCTTTTTCTCCTTTACTCTTTTATCATTTTTCTATAATTTATACATATAGATATCATATATAATTACACTCAATTTATAAATGTTATTTCCATTATTTCTTAAGTGTTTAATATTGATGCACAATCATGATTGATCACAATGATGATTTTATCATTTATTCTTATTATGAAAAAATAAAATATAAAAAAATTTGAAGAAAAATACTAACGGTGTTAATAAAAGGAATTAATCACAAAATATTAATGTGCAATATTAATAAAAAGTATTTTAGAACTAATTGTAGCTTACACAATAACCATCACTGGAGTTGCTTGAGAAAATGTTTTTATTAAATTTAATGATAAATTCTAAATTTTAATTAAAAATAGAAATCTTAAGTAATATTTTATTACCTTTTTTAACAGTCTCTCTCTGGCGAACTCATCTTCTTACTGATAGTCTTCGACTCGAACGGTATTTGCAGTTTTTTTCATATATCTGTCATGTCACTATCACGAGCTGCTCGAATCACCTATCTGAGATATTTTTATTCATGTTTCTTACATATTCATATTTTATGTGGAAAAAAAACAAGAGTATCCATGGAAAAGGTCAAACTGTGATGTCATCCCTACAGTGGTAAAATGTTTTCTTAGAATTTTTCATACAATCTCTTTCAAAATTTCTAGACAAATTTTAGAATTTTTCACAATTTTTATATTATTTTATAACTTTTTAGAAAATTTCTCAAATTTTTTTATACGAATTCACTTCAGAAGTGTAAAGAAAAACTATATATAATTAATAAACTAAATATTAAAGTTCGATTGAGATAAATCAATAGAATCAAATAATGCCTATTCGAGCCAACAGGATGACAATATGAAAATTGGTTTATTTAAATTAACATAATTATAATTTGGCAGATGAGACTTGACATCCGACGTGCATGAACAGCTTAATAACATTTCGATGATCATTGTACCAGGAAATATGATGACATCACTTACTCGTAGATGATTGAATTTTGGATACGATCAACGCGATGCTGCAAACGCTTTGAAGTGTTTTTTAATTGGTCAGTTTATAAAATTCTTTCTTCTAAATGGTCCATCAAATGCTTCAAAGCATTTTGACCATAGCCTAACAATTTAAATGGAGCACTGATAAGGATCCAAAGCAGGATCGAAATGTTTGCGATTATAATTAATAATTGTTAATTTAATCAACTATTCTTGGATCCAACGTACCTTATGCGATTTTTCACAATGCTGTAACTTTTTTATAATATAATTTGAAGATCCGGATTGAGGCTGAAAAAACTAACTATCCATAGATATAATAAGCCTGCAAGGATTTTTTTTGCGTTATTCTCGATGTGAGAATGCACGAAAGTTCAAAGAGAGTATTTGGGATCCACACGTGACTAGCTTGTAAATTTTCGGCGTTCTGAGTATCCCTTTATTTTTTATTAAATATACGTTTACTGAGTTTCGGATAGTATAAAAGTAAGTACACGAAAATGTAGAATTAAAAAGAATTATTTCAATATAATAAATAGTAGAAATTTTATAATCTCTGTCAGTCTTTAGAAATCGCTCGGTCGAGGTGGATTGCTTTAGAGCGAATGTTGTATCATTCTCTAAACTACTTTTACCTTGCTTAAAGAATACAAAAAGTGTAATCACTACAGGTAAGCAATTTTATAATTATAAAAAATTTACATTAGTTAAAAATTATTTTATAAATATTTGTTATTTTATGGATTATGTATCATGCAATTAAATAACAGAAACCTCCAGGAGGTAGTGGCTGCTCTATTACCTGATCCAGAAGAAAAATATGATGAAGAAGAAACGGACGACGAGCAGCAGGATAATGTCGAGGAGCAGTTCAGACGATGGTGCTGAATGCGAGACCGATAACTCGGATCGAGAAGCGTTTGAGTAACAGGAACAGCAGGAAGACAACGATATAGACGAACGTTGAGAACGAAGAGCAAGTCCGTCAAAGAAAAGGCGCAGATCGGGGAGACCGCCTTTTTACGTTCAGGCAGCAAACATAAAATGGTCGTTCAAAGCTTCTGAATCACGAGATAGATCAAGCGATAGTGATCGTTTTGAAACGATCTATTTTTCCCAAAGTTCAGATGCCGCGTTAAATGTGAATTCTCCACTTGAGGCTTGGTCGCTACTTTTTTCTGACTCGTTACTAGAAAAAGTTATGTTGCATACTAATGAATCAATAGAAGCGTACATTCAAACACTTAAGGACAAAGCCGAAGATTACTTTCAAATACAAATGTATTATGGTACCTTATAGAGTTCAAATCATTTATAGGACTTTTATGTTGGGATACATAAAATAACGATGACAGGCATTAACCATTCATAGTCGCGTCACGATTTATCATTATGTCCCGGCATAGATTTAAATTCTTATTAACAAATTTGCATTTTGAACGAAGATTAACTGATAGATTTGCATCGATTCGTGAAGTTTGGGAGGACTTTATAGCTAATTGTATACGTTATTACGTACCGTCTGAAAATGTAACAATCGACGAAGTCGATATAATCGAGTTGCTCTCCTTCCGCGACAGATGCGCTTTTCGCATTTATATGAAAAATAAATCTGACAGATATGGGTTAAAAATGGGTTATGTTAAATGATTCTAAAACGTATTATATGTTAAATACGATTCCGTATGTAGGATCGATGACAATGGAAGGCACAGAATCCATACCATCATATCATGTTCGAACTTATTATGGAAGCAATAGAAACGTAACCTGCGACAACTGGTTTACATGAGTTCCTCTTGCAGAGTGAATGAAAAGCTTGCCAATAAAGCTTTCAATTGTAGGTACGATTAGAAAAAAACAAGAAAGAGATTCCTCTGAAACACAATAATTTCAAAACCGCGTCTGATGTAGGGCAATCGAAATTTTTATATCACGAAGGAAAGACGTTAGTTTCATACACACCCAAAAGAAATAAAATAATGTTATTGCTCTTCACAAAACTGCGAGATTGATGAGACTACAAATAAGCTAGAAATTATAACTTATTACAATAAAACAAAAGGTGGAACAGATGCATTTGATCAGTTGTGTCACGAGTACACGACGTATCGCTTGACATGGCTAGTTCGTATGACCTTTCTGGTATGACCAAGGGGTCAATTCAATGATATTATATAATTTGCAAGCAAACAATGATATTTTAATGCGTTATGATTATTTACTGTCTTTGGCAATGTAACTTGTGATGCCTTTATTGGAGCGTCGGTACAATACGGTACATTTGCAAATTCATGTGCAACACCTTATTGAAAATTTTATTGACAAGCCCAAAGAGGGACCGGTGATTCCAACAAACTAGATAAGAAAAAAAGATATTTGTTTTATCTCTATTTTCGTAAAACGCAATATATGTGCATGCGTTGTCGGCAACCGATGACACATACATCAAAACTTTGTACTACTTGTGCTCCGTGCGAATAAATTTTATTATGTATACATTTATATAACTAAATAAACATAATTATATATACTATAACAATATTTATATTTATAATCCTTTATCTACCATTTTATATTGTTCAAATAATAAAATTATTTATTAATTGTAAACCTATATGTAGATTTTTTTAAAATGTCGATTTTCGATAGTTCAAATAATTATACTTTTTTAAGCAATTCATATCGTACTATATTTTTGTTAGTCCAAAGAGTCAACTAAAAAAATCCTGTGGATTTTTGCTTGAACATTAAATTAAAAAATTGGAGAATTTTTTATTCAAAGTAGTAATTTTCTGCGAATTTTTCCAATAAAATTTCTTTGAAAAAAGTATTGTAATTAATTGAAAATAAAATATTTATTTAATTCATATTTATCTGTCTTTGTCCGACTTCGAGGTATAAATTTTACACGTTTTGAACTAAAAAAAAATATGTATTCAATCCAGAGATATAGCGTGCCAAAGTTGCAGGTTTTACAGATCCTGGTGTGGCCGGGAAGGTAATCAAAAATAACAATGGCGTGCTAGGGAATAAATCAATTTTTACATTGTCATCCTATATTAGCTTGAATAGGCATTATTTGATTGTATTGAAAAACTAGATCTTTTCTAGAATTCTTAGCATATGTGAATTCTGAAATATTCTAAGATTTCTCATTGTATAATTTCCTAATTTTATATAATTTTATATAATTCTAAAGTTTATTTTTTTTAATAGAAAAATCTTCAATAAAAATTTTTTAAAGAATATCGAGAGATTATGAGAATTTTTTTCACTGGATAGATTTGCGTAGATAAAAATTTCCGAAAAAAAATCTAAACATTTTGAGCAAAAATCTGTAAAAATCAATTTAAAAACCTGAAAGTTTTTTTACTCAGATATGTACTTTATTTGGATATTTGACGTTATATTTTATTATTCTAAAATTCAGTTTTTGCATTCATCGAAAAGTTGTAAATAATCAAAATACATTATAGTACAATAACTATGTGGTGACAGCCATGGATATTCTTAGATCCAATCTCTAAAAGATATAAATTCATTGAGCAACGTAAATGTTCGGTTACGAGAGAAAGAGAGAGAGAGAGAGAGAGAGAGAGAGAAAGTTATAAAGACAAAAGATATCAATTAAACTGAAATGACATAAATATTAAATGTTTTAACGACAAATATAAAAAAATAGATTCTATATTTTTTAAAAATCAATTTTGATTAAAAAAAAAAAAGTTTTTATCATAAAAATTCAGATTTTTATTCAGTGTTTTTACTTTAAAGTAAAAAAATTTATTTTTTCATCTGAACGTCCACGGGAGTATGGGATCGAATGAAATGTACGCATTTTTACTATTGCATTCATTTATTTTCTTATACTTCTACTGTAATACTGTAATACCATACAAGAAATGCACTTTAATGAAACCTACAGAAGAGAATCTGAATATAAAGTTAGACGCTTATTATCGTCCGGCGGCATTTCGCTCTCATAATCGTAATATACATAATAAATGTGCTTTTTTTCTTCTCTTCAACAAACGCAAACATATTTCCATTAATTATTTTATTTCCCTTTTTTTTTGATCGATATAAGCGATTCGTACAACGCGATTCGACAATCAACTCTCGCTTCTCAATCATTCACACATTCAGACGCACACAATCACGCAACACCATTCACCACTCACCGTTCTGAAATATGTCATGGTAGAAAAGTTAAAAAGAAAAAGCCACTTTTTCGCGTTACCTCTCTTTGGTCGTGAAAAAGAAATTAATCGAACGGTACTGCGGTTAAAAACAGCGGCTGACCATCGGGAAATTTTGTCTCCTCGTATTCCGTTCGCGTTTTCTTCTTCTTTTTTTTTTTACTTTTACGCTCTTTACATATATTGCAAAGTGTTATCAAAACATATAAAAATTCACGCCCGGTATGAAATCGTTACGATTCGCACGGTGTAATTAATTAATTTCTCTTTCTCTCTACGTTTGTATATAATGATATCACTCTCGTAGTGAGTTTGATTGTATCAAGCAAAGTAGCAGGACCGCTTCAAGATGGAAGGAATGAATTTATTGGTAAACCATTGCTGTTGGTTTACAATGTTTTTGCAAGAATCAATCATTCTGCAGAATTATGAAATTCACTTGGTTCCCTAATCTCCCTAAAATTAGCGCCAGAAGATTGGAAGCTTGATTTTAATTTTTTCCATTCCATCTAAAGGACCGAATCTTATAATTCAAAATGAATTCTAGTCCTTCCTTGTATTTACAGGTGCATTTTTACAAGGTTTTAATTTTTTTTCTGGAGTGTCTCCTCGCGAGAATATATTATTAAGTATTTCGTAACTTTCTATTAACTCTGCTAGTAAAACAGTTATCGTAAAACAGCATGCAGATTTTACTAAATATGATTGGCATATATTTTGACTAGATATTATATAAATCATTGTTTAACAACTAACAGGATCTTTCATTCATTTAAATAGGCAGCCTTGTTTTAGAATCTAAACTAGTTGAAATCAGCGAGGATCCGAGAACTTTGATGTACTTATATGCAAAATTAGAAAAAGAATGAGCGGTGAAGTTATGCCACACTATCACATAAAAATAAAAGAGAAAAAAATGAAACGAAAAAGATGAAAGAGAAAAGAAAACCAAAAATATTATAGAATAATAAAAATCGCAATACTAATAATAAACATACTCGAAGAATACTAAACTCGAAAATCTTGAATTTCGAAATTCTTTATGACAAGTTTACGATTATTATCATTTTCCGCACCGTTAACGAGATTTATCGTCAATAGTTGCAGGCATTTAGTCAGAAACGACCAAGGAGTGGCTTTTGAAAATTATATAAATATATAATTTTTACATAAAAATATGTTTATATATATATATATATATATATATATATATATGTATATATATAGGTATATATGCAACATTTAAGATTTTTTTTTCCACTCTATTTGCGCATTCTATTTAGAGCGCAAAAAAGGATTTACGTTAATGACATAACTGCGCGAATTTTCGATAAAATTATATCTGTTCTTCATGAATAATTCAGACATGGAAAGTTTAGTGACAATTGTACACCTCGAAGGCCATTGGCACGTATTAGGTGTTGGAATTAATTCGTAGCGTTTTACAAGTGATGGGAAGTACTTTCATTAATGTATTTTTTAATGCTCATGTGAAATAAATAACATTCTTTCATTTAAAAACGCTACGAATTAATTCCAACACCTAATAAAAAACGAGACTTTCGCAGGAAGCAAATTCGAATCGATCAATCACAGTCGAGAATTTCAAACTCTTCCAAGATTCTAATTTCTAAATTCAAAGAATCTAAATAATATTTGATTGGCCGATTCTATCGCTTCCCTGTCTTTTCTGTGCCACTGGCTCAAGTTTTTCGCAGTCCGTCAGCGTGAAACATGACGCCGGTCGGTTACATCGGCAGCTTAAGAAATTACACGTTTCGATGTCTGCACGTTTGTCTGTTCGCTTTCGGTATTCGCAACGTGTCGCACGACATTCTCGTACAGACGTGATAGCGGAAACGTTAGTCGCATTAAGCCGTAATCACACTAGCGATTGGATTGCGAGCAATCATCGATTGTTTTGCTCTGATTGGTCGAGAAGTAATCGTCAGCCGCCAATCATAAAATAGTCACCGATTTCTTTGCTCTGATTGGTCGAAAAGAGAAAGTCGCCAGTCACAATCGCAACTCAATCGGCAATCTCTAGTCTGATACGGGCTTTAGCCTCGCAAAAGCGACGTTGGAACGTACGGAGTCCCCCTTTCTCCCGCATTCCCGCGCGTACATCTTTCTTTTTCTCCACACGCAGCATATTATTCAGCCGCACGAATTCGCGACTCGTGCGATGCGACAGGCGAAGGCACGCGCACGCGCACACGCATACACACGCGGCACACGCATACGCACACATTACACACACGCATACACGCATACACGCGTACGAGTCAACGGATTCGGAAATATAAGATAACAAATGGGAAAAGAAAAAGAAAAATTAATTAATCGCTACAGATCACACTTTTTGTAGTTCATCGTTCATCAAACATTCGAATTAGAACGAACACCGCATTCCCGACGCACGCTTAGCTCCCTGAAACTCCGGAATAGCTACGTTCGCTTGTGAATAATCTGCATATTTCGAGATTAAATCTTATACAATTCGACTCCAGAAATCAGATGGCTTTATTTGCCCGCAAAGCCCGCAAGAGCAAGGTGCGCCAGAAAATGCAGGCTGATTGACGCGCTATACCATACTGTTGTTGAAGGATTCACCCGTCGAAGGACCACAAAAGAAAAAAGAAAAAAAAATAAACAGCAAATGAAGCAGGTTTTTCCGACCAGCACCTGTTCCGAGGTGCGCCGGCAAAGAGGATTAATAATCGCGATACTTTTTGAGAGCAACAGGTTACATCTTCGGCACATACTTTATTATTATTTTTTACTCTCCACCTCGCTTATCTCGCGGCGGTTCGATTCGATTACATCTTATGTGGCTCGTTTTCCTCAGTTCGGCGGTCTTTACGTTTTAGTCGCTCGCTAATTACTAGAACAACGTAGGATAAGGTGGTACAATTTCAAGCGTGGTACAATTCTGAACAAAATAAGATTTGAATTCAATTTTCAAAATTCAGCTTTGATCTTTTCCTTTTGGTACTTTTAGTGCCATAGTCGCCATCTTCCTGTCAGAGATCCCCATTTTGACAGGCAACTAATCTGCAAGATAACTTTGGTAAAAAATTGATTCGTTTTGGATCGTATATTAACTCTTCACTGTTGTTAAGTTCAAGTTAAAGTTATAATTAGAGAGGTTTTATGTCTCGAAAAACAGAGAAAACATCATATCACCTAATCTAATCCCCGTTTTGAGACATATTAATGTAAATAGGGACATATCGAATATTTAGTCCGCATTAATTTAATACGCATATTAACCCTGATTTACGTCTATTTCTATCATCTAAACTTTATTCTCAACTT